TAATTTTTTTTTTTTTTTTTTTTTTTTTTTTTTTTTTTTTGAAATAGTTTTCTTTAACTAATTAATTTAATTAATTTGAAACGTGTGTTGTAATTGTTTGAAAATTGTAGGCGAATTTCGCTTTAACGCGATATTCGCTTGACTGTTAATTATACTCTCTTGGCATCGTAGACACCGATGGGCGCCCCCCCCCCCACAACTTGTCATTATCGGTAATTATATCTCATTCATGCAAAGCATATTTTTTAAAAAGATTGTATCGCCTTTGAAGCGAGACAAGGAAGACATCCCCCAAGACAAGTGTAAAATGTCTTCTAAATGTAATGAAATTGTTTTAATTGTGAATTGCAAGCTCTCTCTCTCTCTCTCTCTCTCTCTCTCTGTAAGTTTTTTTTTACCATTTCATCGGCGATTTATCATATATTCTGAAGACATTTGACTTTGTTGACATGTTGCCTTCTCGGACATGAACCGTCCACATGAATCGTGAACCTTCCATCGTGTCATTGTTTCATGGTCGGTACCAATACTTGTTTTTCCTTTTTCCCTTTCTCTTTGTTTTCTCTTTCTTGATAATGAGTTTTAATGGACCAATTCAATGAGGAGTAGTAGTAGTAGTAGTAGTAGTAGTAGTAGTAGTGTGGCTTTATATCCAGATTGTAGATAATTAATAAATTCGATAATTATATGCGATATCCGGTTTTTTTTTTTTTTTCTTAAGTCTAATTGCAGACTTTTTTAGTTTATAATTAAGAAAAAAAAAAGAAGTAATTTTTTTATTGATCAATCTTTTAAATAAAAATTCAACCCCTCGAGGCCTTAAAGAAGCTTTTATTTTTCAATTTAAAGAATTTACGATAGAAACTGTCGATTAAAAAATTTCAAAGCTAGAGAAAATCCGTTATGAACAGAACAGAGTTGTCGACAAAGTCAAGATACAAGTTGATCATAGAGGAGCGACCATATCACCACCAGCACTGTGTATCCATTCATTTCCTTATTTAGATAACGACACCACCAAGGTCCAAGAGATGATTTATAGAAAGATGTGAATAATTTTTTTCCTTGAATAAATTGCGTCATTTTTACAAACTCCTACTTAAACTAGGTAACGTGTTCGAAAGAAATTATGCAAAATTAAGAAAATTAATTCTTTTTTCTTGTGATATAAGTGCTTGAAATATTTATTTTTCTCTCTTTTCTTAAAACCTTTACAAAAATAGAAAGTAAAGGTACTGGCATCTACTAATCGAAAGGACAGGCACGTAGTGGAGAAGAAAAGCGATATATATATAATTTTTTAATTTTCGATTCGGATGAGCTTGATAAAAGAAGTAAAGGAATACAACGAGTTCAATATTCTTCTTTGATGAAAGTGTAAGCTTTTGTTTTCGTTTTCGTTTTTTTTGTTTTTTTTTTTTATTTTATTTTTTTTTTTTTAAAGGTTTGGTTCTAGAGTCGTTTTATGTAAGATTAAAAAACAATGAATTAACATCCTTGAGAGACCCCTGTATTTTTCCCGGCTTCTTAGTGTTAATAATCAATCAAAAAAAAAAAAAAAAATTTAAAGATAAAATCAAACGAATTTTTACAAAAGAAAAAGGGGACAAATCAAAGCTGCAACGATAGATAGCTAAATATACAAATAACCTGTACTAATATAAAACGGATTAAAACGAATAATCGTAATAAAAGAGAAATAAAAACTCTTGAAGCCAAAGTGAATCAACTGAAACGCAATCGTAGCATACAAAGGCCAATTGAAAATGAGAAATTAAATGAAAGACAAATGAAAAAAAAAAAAATAAAATATATATATATATATATATATAAAAAAATAGAGAGAGAGTAAATAAAAACACAAACATATATTTTTGATATAGTGACAAGAGAAGAAGAGAAGGAAGAAAACATATATTAAACCTGGAAATAATTTCAATCAAAGGTTGAGTTAATTTACGTCCCAGCGCTGGTTCAATGGTAGTAAGGCTGGCAAACTTTGTTTTTATTGTAATAACGAAGGCAAGTTGATAAAATAAAAATAAAACAATAAAAATATATAGATATATTTTAAAATGTTTTATAGAAAAATGATTGATTGATTAAAAATAGAAAAATTTTTAAATTAAATTAAAATATCGAATTCATTAATAAATTGAATAATTAATATAAGTAAAAAATATTCCGCGGAAAATATTCATGAAGCTCATTTAGAATTTGCAATAAAATAGAAATAAATATGAAAGAAGAGATGATAATAAATTAATATAAACGCATAACATCGCTTACCAATTTAATTATTTTAATAAGCATCCAATTATTGGTTGAAGTTGTCATCAATTTAAAAAATACAGGAGCCAAGGGAAGATAATTTTTTGGATTCTTGCGTGCTAATTCGCAAACAACATTAACGGCAGCTGATTGTACACCTTATTAATTAATTTAAATAAATAAATAAATTATGTTTTCATTTTCATGTTATCATTATATTATCTTTTTCTTTCAAAATTCGATAAAAATTTGAATTTTTTTTTTTTTACCTGGATCGGGATCCTCAAGTTTCTCCTTAAGTTTAGGAAATGCAGGCTTCAGGGCTTCAGGATAACGTAAGAATACTTTATACATCATAAGGACGGCTTTCATACGTAAATAAGGCTTAGTTGAGCTCATCTTAAATAATGTATATAAAAATTTGAATAATAATAAACATTATAATCTATCTATCTATCTATCTATCCTATCTACCTACCAATGTCATAATATCATTAGCCAAATCTCGAGATAAATCTGGTGATATGAAACAACTTAGACCGCTCAAAGCCACTCCAGCGTCATATTGATTTTGCGAATTTAAATCTTTACGTATCATATTTGTGGTTAACATAAGCAACTGTAACGATTTAAATTTAATTTAAATATAAGTAAGAAAATTATGCTCGATCCCGACCGACTTTTTTATACCCATCACCGTTTCATATAGGGTCTTTGAAGCATCCTTTTTGAATACTGTCAATGTTTTTCGAAAAGAATGAAATTTTCAATACTCTGTAATATTGACTAGACGTGGCCGAGTTTCTCCATTTTTGTACAGATGCTACAAAACTGCCCTTACCATGTAAGTGCAATTTTTGCGGTTTTTATGGCGATCTTCACAATCTTTTTTCCTTTCAAAAAAAAAAAAAAGTTACTCTAATGTTGTTGGACCATGGTCAGGGCCTTCGAACAATATGACTCAATTTCAATATTTCCGTGCAAGAAAATCGAATCTTTTTGCCAAATTTGTAACCGATTATTGCGCTTTTGCAACCAAAGCGATTGTCTACCATCGACATGACATACGACTAACGAAGAGATTGAGAACAGTACATGCTTAAATCGATTTAGAAGTTGGTGATGATTACGACTTTATAGATACTTTATGGAAATTGTGAGGCTTCGTTCTGGGTATCGCAAACGCTTTGACAAAACGAATTTAAACTCACAACTTGCGGTGATTGGTATATAAAATAGAGATTTCCAGAAATGATTAACTGTACTTACCTCACTGTCAGGATGAAAACATTGGCTCGCTGCTAAATAGCCAATACGCTTACACGTAAATTTAGAAGAGCTCATTACCTCGATTATATTGAAACCGGCCCAAGAGATGTCATATCCCAACATTTGGATCTTTGAAAAGATGAAAATATATTGACATAAATTTTAAAAATGTAAAGTAAAAAGAGAAGAAACGACTAAGAAAACAATATATTCGCCTCGGATCGCTACCGGATCGGCCAGATAAGCTAGCCTTGTTAGTCAAATATTTATGAAAAATCGCCATTTTTCACCAATCAGTGTACGCCCACCTGAATAATGGCGATGGTCATAAAGAAGTGAAGAAAGAGAAATAGATAGGGAGATGGCCGAAGCCTACTGAGTGTGCGCCCAATAAGAAAGTGTTATGGCTTTACCGATTCAGCGTTCACATTAGCTCTACGACCAAAGTAAACTCTACCGTTTTTGAGATTTGATTCCATGAACACTGACCTCAGTAGTCGCGATGTTTGCCTAATCGAGTACTCAGGGGAATTAGTGTAAAGTAGAAATGGACCAAACACATGTTCAAGCAGTTTTTAATGTTTACTCGTTCTATGTCTATGTTCGGTAATCATTATTCTCAATTTTTAATTACCGTGTATATGTACTATGGGGTCTTTTTTTGCAACTATTCCAAGGAGGTATTAATTGAATTGCATTGAAAAGACTCTCCTTTCTGTCACTATTTCTGGCATAAGGATCTTGATTATATCGAATATTTTACTGCTATGATGCAACAAACAATGTAAATGTACGTCGAACCAACGTCCGATGATCATTAAAAATTGCAATAAAGCTAATGCTGAAAACAAATTCTTCTTTTTCTTCTTTCCTAAAAATGCATGTCAAAAACAAACATTGCTTTCTTTGTTTATTTCGATCATCACTCACTACTACAGCGTTAGTTAGTTGTTTTACTTGGCTGCTAATGTCTATTGGTTTGGAGAAAAATTGTTATGCACTCTTAATAATAATAATCTTAATTATGTGTATGAACTGTAACGCGCTTTCTTACATTTATTTATATAATAAGAGGATCGAACATAAAATTCGTGGAATTAATAAATTTCATGGACTAAAGTTTATGTATATATATATTATGTATATATCCGGGTACTTTACATAACGTGTAACTTAAATTGAATGTTTTATTATTCATTTCCCGTTTCTGAAGGCGTTACGCGCCTTGTTGGTCAAGAAAAATATGAAATATCGAGAATTTTATTGAACTACTATATCCTGAAGAATTTCAAGACGACAAGCATAGCATCATTGTTTTACATTTACTACATATCTCTCCACGTCCGCGAAATACATACACTTCAGGGAGCAACGTAGACGAAAAATGACAATTATTCGAGTTGTTCGTCTTGAATCAAAAATTTTTAACATCGATTCATGCTATACATGCTACTCTCTTTTTACACGGTAGATACGTTTCTTAGAAAACTGTGCAAAGAAAATATCGCGTAAAGAAATACACACGACATATGGTCAATTTGAGGATGTATTCTACAATTTTATAAGATCGTGTAAAATCATAAAATTGTAAATATTTTCCCAAAAACCGTGCAAAAAAAAATAATAATGAAATTTACGTATATATGAAATAAATCCACTTTCACTTTTCTAGTATAACATTATAAAAATTTATATTTAAATTGGAAATAAGAATCGATTTCGCAATCGATCGAAATTCAAATTTTTTCAACATCAACTTTTCGAGTTTCATTAAAATTATTTATTGTATCCTGGAAGGTGGACACTCTTAAGCCAAAGTAAATTCTGAATAACGAAAAGCTATGTTCAATTTAATGTGTAACGAGACAAGGGGAAAAGTGAACATAAAATTCGGATAAATTCCATGTGACACCACCTAGCCACTAGCACATATGTAACCGATTTGCAATCACGGCATTCTCTCAATTGTATTTTCTGTAGGATAGTGTCAAAAAAAAAATATATATATATATATTTGGATTTCGCACTAGAACTAAAAAATTCGTTCCCAAAAAATATGAATAAAAAGAAATATTGAATAAATATTATAGTTAATTTCCAGATCTAAAAAAGTGACTGAAAAGTACGATAAACACTATTAAAAAGGTTCTTGTCAGAGCTCACTTACGAATTAATCTCGTGCTCACGCTTTTGAGTCCATTAAATATAAATTAATTACACTTTGAAAAATGAAACCAAACGTGGCTTTGCTCATGTCTAACACGGTTCATGTCTAACACCGTTCATACTATCGACATAATCTAGTCAAATTCGCATATGTATGAGGTGACGAAATTATAATGCATATATGTGAGGAATGAGAATGAAAAAATTCATTGAAACATCAAAAAAAAAGCGAAAAAAAATTGATCACAAAAATTCATCAAATATTGAGAATCGTTGTAAAGTAAAACAATTCGTATAAAATGGGAATTTTTTCTTGTCAACTTATCAACTTCCGTGTAAAAAAAAAAAAAAACAAACGTGCAAAAAAAGAATTGGATCCTAATCATATTTTTATCAAATATACAAGCGACTCATACGCAATTATACATAATAAAGAAACTGTATTGATAGCTACTTCCACTAATTCACAAACATACATATATTTTGTTTGTAGTCGTTATCGGATGATGGAAATGCATTAAGGAAAAATCTAAAATAATATTGAAATTTCTGTAATTAGTAGGTGAAAATAATACATGTCAGTATTTTAGCGGATCGAATAGTTTACAGTCAACTATTGAACTTGTCATCGTCAGAGGGAATAGAAAAGAAGTTTGACATCAAGTTTATTTTTTTGAATAATAAGTTTGCAGTTTCCAATCCTTCGGTCATTTCAACAACCACCACGGTCAGTATACAACTCTTTTGCTATTAAACTTTATACACATTTTGTATGGAATGTTGTTGCTCGCATAAATTTAAAAATGCTTTACAACCATTTGACATATGCACATATACCATGAATGCATGAATGTAATGCGCTCGCCGTTGTAGGCATAATTCTATGGATTTGTTCAATAGTTTTCGTATATTTGTGCATTGCCACTTTATCACGTTTAGGAATGTGGGCGTACGACCATACAAATAAATCTTTAGTATTTTTATTTTTTTAATTTTTTTATTTATTTTAATACTTACATAAGTTAGCTTTGCTACAGCATTGCACTTAACGTTAATGTTGTCTTGACGCAATTCTTGCTTAATTTCTTCAATGCATTGTGAAATATATTTGGCCTGAAACGAAATTTTATCGTATAGTTTTTAGTATATCACTTGCGAACAATTAAATGTTAATTAGTAAAAAATTTCATTTCTATATAAAAGCCTTGAAATGAATCGACGCAATTCGTTATATAAATTCGCTTTTTATTAACAACTAGGACTGCTTCCTAGCGAACGCGGATTGGAAAGAAATTGGAAAAAACTCTTACTCCAAATTACATACAAATATTTTACTATATATAGGTCCGTCCGTCACGTCCGTGATACAATCATATTAAGTGCTAAGATTTTTCGCAGGTTATTATATTTACTTTTATATCCTACAATCAGGGAATATCAAGTTTGTGCAAATGTATATAGAATCCAGAAGGACTTGAAATAAGCCCATTCCTTTTATTATACCCATCGATTCAGCATAACTTTCTCATTTGATTTAAACGTGTCGTTCCGTCCTGTATTCTCGCGTTTAACCTCCAGATAACGATTGTTTCGATTTTTTGGGTTAAATATGCTACCACCACCATGCTTCCCATATAACACATCAATTTGACTTTTTTTTTGATCGAGAGAATTGTGAAGAGAGGAAGTAGAAAAAACTGCAGCAATGTTATTATGAAATCAATCCATTCCACAAACAGTAATACGGTGTTGATCGCTTTTTCCGCAAACATCATAATTAAAAGAACTATAGTAGTTCGGATCGAAAATAATTTGTAGCGTGACGTTTGAAAAGAGATAAACAAAAGTTGTGCGTGTGTGTGTGAAAATGATTGAAATTTTCAAAAATATGTAAGAATAGAGGTTTGGGGCCAGGTTCGCGGAGGAATTTGTGCGCTTCTACGGACGAGATGACTTGTCGAAAGCGACAGGCGAAATGCTCAAGCAGAGAGCACGCCACTGCTTACAAAGGATATGCATTGCAAATCATATGCTCGCGGAATAAACACTAAATATGTACAATCAGCATCCTCGGTTTTTATGTGTAACAATTCAAAAGAAATCGCCATAATCTGTCATAATGCAGCGTATTAAGGCAAACGTTTGATCATCCATCGAGTATAGAGAAAGCATAAATGTTGGAAAGCATAAATGTACAGCTATCGATTGGAATCATAAATTAAATCAGACCAGTAGAGCTCTCCGAATGCTGCTGGTAGTATCACGTACGAGGAGTGTGAAAACCACGTAACATAAAAAAATTGTGGGTACGTGATTTCATTTGATTTGAATGTTAAACGGAAATAAATACACTCTTCAGTCTTATGGCAAAATCAATAAGTAATAGTTTACAAAATTTGTACCAAAATTATTTTGTGAATTTTGTAAGATGATAAGAAGCGAAAACAAATAGGATTTTAATACATCCATTTATGGTATAGAGTGTACTAAGTTTGTGCGTGTATGTATGTAACAACTAGAGGGATTTGAGCTACACGACCCCTTTTTATTATACCGATTCATACGGAATCGTCTTCTGAGTCATCTCAGTTTGCCCGCTTATCTGTTTGTCCATCCAAAGAATGTCTGTGCACTTTGGGGCTCACCTTTAACTGAAGGATCTACTTCAGCGAATAAACTAAAAATTTTAGATCGTACTACTACAACTACTATAATCTCGTTCAATTTCAATAGTTCAAGCAAAACTAAAATTATCATAACATCACCTGCTGGCTGCGATTGCTTATCACACTTGGGAAGAAATACGAGTTTTTCAATGCGGTCACGAGCCTTCATTTCAAACTCAATCCATACTCATAACCTTAAGTCTGATTGAAGGCCTGGTTATGCCACTCATATTTATATAGGAAATTAAGGGTGTGAAGATAAATTCGAATTTAACTAGTAAAGACACCTACCACTTCTGTTAACATACCTCTGTTAACGACTTAACAGAGCTCATGTTAAATAATTACAATTGAGATATAGTTGGTTTGAAAGCCTAATCCGTCCATATTAAAAAAAAGAAAATATTTTTGTGGGCATTTCATGAATCAATATAAAACTACCTTTCAAGCAAACTAAACAAATTCAAATTCTGCTTATGGAAACTATTTTAACGGTATTTGAAATTTGGTATGTTAGCGAAAACTGCATATGGAAAAAAACACAAATTTGACACTCTGGTGCGGCCAAACTAGAAAATGTCGCCTATAT